TTTTCAGTCTCTGGGATTCCCACCATAATTGAAGATCTGAAAGAACATCAAGAAGAGAGTCCTGTTACCCAGCCACCACCCCAGGCCAAACTCCTTGTCCCTGGCAGAAGGTTAGTTTACTGTTGAGTTCCAGGTACCTGGGGCCCTGCACAGTCTTTAGACATCTCCAGCAGCTTGGAAATGCCTAGCCTTTCCCAACCTTCCACTCCTCCAAAACTTCCCCATGTGATACCCATTTCAACAGAGGCAATGGAGGCTCAGAAGCTCATTATCTTCATACCTATGTATTATTTATCATTATTTATTATTAATTGGTATTTCATTACTGATAGTGACATGAATAAACTATTAATAAGGCTTGAGAGACTGTCTTGAAGCTCATCCAATATCCTGCAAAGGTCAATGTTGGCTATTTTTCTTTGTATTTTATGAAGGGAAGACACTGAGGTCAAAGAAGGTTCAGGGGTAGTTCAGCCAACCTTCTGACTTCTGAGATGTCTGATAGGAATAATAATGACTGAGAAGCATTTTTGTGAGGTACAGCATCCCAGGCTGACAACAGGGGTCAGGGCTGTGATAGCTACAAGATGCCAGTGGATCTTCCAGTTAACAGCTCCCAAAGCTTCTGTTTGTCCCACATTCACATTGGGGACCAACCTGACAAGATAATATTCACATGTGTCTTGTACATGATGCCCATCTGGGTCCTTGAAGATGGCTGTGTGACTGCCTACCACCAAACCATCATCCCTTGCACACAATTCCCTTTCCTTTCCTTCCTAGGTTTAGAAAGTCCCACTTCTCAGCATCCTTTGCACGTTGGTAGGGTCATGTGACTGCCTCTGGGCACTTTAATATAGGTCCAGACTGTCCCCTAGAGCCTTCCTCTGATCTCTTCCTTGTCACATGAGTGGCTGGAAAGGGGCAAAGTCACCAAATGGAAGGAGCCTGAGTACTTGATGGCCATCCCTAATGAGTATGACATGAACAGAGAGAAACTTCTGCTGTGGGGTCCTGAGATTTGGAGTGGTGTGTTACAGTAGCTATTCAACTGATACATCCCACTAATATGTGACACATAGTAAATACTCCATAATTTCTTGGTGGGGGAAAAATAGGAAATAGATTAGATTAGTTATTTAGCAAACCCATGGGCCTGGCTCCACTATCAAACATGGAGTATTGGGGAAATGGACTAAAGGAGCTAAATGAGTAGCAAAATAACTCTGAGCCAACATCATGAATTTGAACAAGAAATGTTAACAGGGATGTGGGGGAGAAGGAATTCTATTGCACATTGGAGGGACTGTAAACTAGTACAACTACTCTGAACAGCAGTCATAAGGTTCCTCAAAAAGAAAAAACTAAATATAAACCTTCCCTATGATACCACCATACCAGTCCTGGGCTTTTACCCAGTACATGACAAGCCAGGATACTGTAAAGATACTTGCATATCCATGTTAATTGCTGCACTATTTAAAAAATGTAGTACTTACATACAATGAAATTTTACACAACCATTAGAAAGAATAGTATTATGTCTTTTGCAGGGAAAACCTAGAACAAACTCAGAGAGATCAATGTTGTCTCTCAAATGGGGAAGTTAGAACTAATATACACTAAGATATGGTAAATTATATAGATTCTGGTTATTTACATTCATTGAAACCAAAGGAAGATACCTTTAGGAGAAGAACACAAAACAGCACAATGCCTATGTGCAAATAAATATTATTTATAGAAATGAACTTCAGGAAATGCAAACACACATTGTATTTCTTTATTTCTTTGTCTCCCTTTATTTTTGTCTTGTTGGTTCATTTCTGGCTTTGGGAAGGTAAAAGAAGGCAGAGAAATGGAGAGACAAAGAGTGAACAAATGCAGCAGTGGTATTCACTACACACTATGCTGAAAATTAACTGTACAATTTGTGTGTGGGGATGAGAGGGAGAGAGTGAGGGAAGGAGAGATATTGTCTAAAAAATGTACTCATTACCTGACTTAAGTAACTGTAACTTCTCTGTACATATATTTACAATAACAACAGAAAAAATGGGAAAATGAAATAAAATAGGCCACCAGAAAAAATGCTTCATAAGCAAGAAGTCTTTGAGTTAATTGCTGGGGTAAAGCTATATGCAAAAATAAATAAATCTTCCTTCCTTACTTTCTTCTTTCCTTCCTTCTGTCCTTCCTTCATTCATTCATTCTTTTCTATCCTTCTTTCTCCTTCCTTTCGTTTCTTTCTTCCTTTCCTTTCCTTTCTTCTCTTCCTTCCTTCCTTTTTTTATTTTCTGTTTATCCTGTCCTCTAAAGGGCACCAACTGGTCTGGAAATCTTTAAAGAGAATCTTCTCTATAACAATGTTGTTTTCCTGACCCTATTATGTTAACTATGAAATAAATGAAGTAGGCTAGTGTCTCCAGACCTATGTGAAGCTTAAAGGAAATTACATGATGGTTTTCTAAGGCTGAGGCAGGAGACTTGAATGGCAACTCTCTTGTCCACTGGAGTTATAAGACCTGGTCCAGAAGCCATCTGTAACCTTTATGGAACATAAAAAACTCTCAGGACACTTTTGGTTGTTAGCAGCAGAGGCCAAGGACACAGCTGAATCACTGATCAGGCACTGACAACCTGCCTACCCCTTCACCCCCAAGGATCAGTTTCCCATTTATCACTATTATCTAGCCTGATATACCATGAATAGTAAGAGGCCAGCAAACTTTTAGAAGGTGCTGGAGTAAACACAGGAGTTCTTGGGCAGGGCAGGTGAGTCATCAATGATCAGGACTAGCCAGTGATAGCTGGGAAGGAAGATTGCCAAATATCCCAAATACCCAGCACTTACCACACCTTGCCTTCAACTCCTGTCCCCAACATGAACCTATGCCTTCCAGGGTCCAGCTGTGTTGCTATCAGGGAGAACTTATCCTTGTTTCCAGGGGAGTACCTTCACTGTCCTCAGAACTCCTGTCCAGTCACCAGGGAACACCTCTCCTGTGTCCAGGGGAGCAATATTCCCTTTTCTACCCCTCCACCCTGCAGTACTTTCTCACATTCCAGAATGCATTTTGGTTTTGTGATACAAGAATTGGAGAAAACTGTCCTTTGCTGACACTCCTACAGAACATTTATTCTGCCCAGCAAACACATGCTTAACTGCACATGCAGAGTGACTTTGGGGCTTTGAGCACATGTAAACATTAGCCTATTATGGCTGCTCCATTACTGAGGACTAGGCACCCAGGGGGCTCATTGGCCCTAACTCCTATGTCACCTTAGACCTCCAGCACAGAGGCGTAAGGACATGTTATGCAAATATTGGGTGAGTAGCAAGAGGACTGAGGTAGAGAAAGAGGGGACATTTGATCCCCATATCTCAGGGCTCCAAACTGCCTGCTTCTATGGGGGACAGAAACCCTGTGCCTACAAGCCAGGCCTGAGACACTGTTGCTACCAGTTTGTCACTGGGGACAAGGAGAGTAGTGTCAGGAAGTGTCCCACCTGGTCTCAGGATCTGCATACTGCAACTTAGAATACCAAGGAGAGTGTGCCTAGTTTGTAATTACAAGGGGGGGTCCAGAGCAGCAGCACTCCTCTGGAACCCATGACAGAGGCAAGAGAGAAAATGGGATGGGATTGTGTCAAGCTTTGGATTTCTAATCTATTAAGTAGAAATTGGGATGTTTGCCATCCAGGAAACATATGCATAGTTTTAATGCATCATGTGTGGCTAAACAGTGTCATTCCTTACTATAAATGTAATTTCTAGCAAGATGCACAAATCTCAATTGACCCATGATGAATATATATTGAATATATGTATATACATGTATGTATATATAAATATGCATAGCAGTGTAAGTAGTGGAAAAACCTCTCATGCTCCTCAATTGGAAGGATCAACATTGTGCAAATGTCAATACTGCCAAAGGCTATCTACAAATTCAATGTGATACTTTTCAATATTCCAACCTCATTCTTCAATGAAATAGAAGAAGCTATCCAAAAATTCATATGGAACAATAAAAGAGCTGAACAGCAAAAGCAATCTTAACAGAAAGAACAGTACTGGAGGAATATCAATACCAAATTTCAAACTCTGCTACAAAGCCGTAGTAATCAAAACAGCTTGGTATTGGCACAAGAACAGACCTCAGGACCAATGGAATAGAATTGAAAACCCAGAAATGGACCTACAGACCTATAGCCATCTAATCTTCGATAAGGGAGATTAAAAAAAAAAAAGTGAATAGAAGAAAGACAGCCTCTTCAGTAAATGGTGCTGGCAAAATTGGTTAATCACTTGTAGAAAACTAAAGCTAGATCCTTACATATCATCTGCACCAGAATTAATTACAAATGGATCAAAGAACTCGGAGTCAAAGCAGACACCCTGAAAACATTACAGGATGGAATAGGAGAAACCCTAGGTCTCCTTGGAGCAGGCCAAAATTTTCTTAATAGAGACCCAGAAACAGAAGAAATCAAAAAAAGGTTGGACAAATGGGATTGCATGAAGCTGCAGTGCTTCTGCATGGAAAGAGACATAGCTAGCAAGATCAATAGAAAGCTCACGGATTAAGAGATCTTCACTACAATGGACAAGGGTCTCATATCTAAAATATACTTGGAACTCAAGACATTAAATCCCCCAACAACAAATCCTCCAAGAAACAACTGCCCAAAAAAAAGTGGGCTAAAATCTTAAAGAGAGAGTTCTCTGAAGAGGAAATAACAATTGCCAATAGACACATAAAGAAATGCTCAACCTCCTTAGCCACAAAAGAAATGCAAATCAAAACAACATTGAGATTCCACCTCACCCCAGTTAGAATAGCTATAATCAAGAGCTCTAATAACAACAGATGTTGGAGGAGATGTGGACATTGTTGGTGGGAGTGTAAACTTGTTCAACCACTTAGTATATGTCTAAGACAAGCAGAAATGGTCAGATAAATTGATGTTAAGTGAAATGAACCCCAAGATAAGGATTCAAATATTTTTTTCTTTCTGGCTATTGTTTCAAACATATTTATTAGATGATTTCTTTGTTGCTTTGTATGTCCTTCCCCCATGGTATAACCCCTGTTTTCACTGTATTTGATGTTGGTATAATTTGTGGAGGGGACGGGAAAAAACAAATTGTTTAAATAGGGATACAGGTGGACCCATTGCAACAATGAGATGTACAAGATGTTATGTCGAAAATGAACTTTACAACTTTGGCATGGGGGAGTGGGTGGGAAGGGAGGGGAAACAAAGGAGGAGGCAACAATGCCTGATAAGAAATGTACTCATTACCTTGCCCATGTAATTGTAACCCCTCTCCACGATATTTTCACAATTTAAAAAAAAAAAAAAAAAAAAGAATGGCTACAATCAAGAAGCCTACGGGTGCTATCTCTTAACATTTTTTACTCAAGGCTAGTACTTTGTCACTTAAGCCACTTCCAGCTCTTTCCTGGTTGATTGGAGACAGGAACATTATAGATTTCCCTGCTGTAGCTGGCTTTGAACCATGATCCTTACATCTCAGCCTCCTGATTAGCTAGGATGACAGGAATGAGATGGCTATTTTCTGAAGAACCCTCAGTGCAGTTTCATTAGTACAATTTGATTAATATCCATCTTTTCACCATAGTGTGGGGTTCATAAGGGATCTTTTTAAACTACTACTGTGTCTTTAGTGTCCTTGACATTGTACTAACACCTGCTTTACTTATATCTTTAAATAAAATAACATTTGAATAAAAAATAAATCAAGAAGCCTAATAATAACAGATGCTGGAGGGGATGAGGCCAGAAGGGAATATTACTGCACTGTTGGTGGAACTGTAAACTTGTTCAACCACTTTGGAAAGCAGTATGGAGATTTCTCAAAAGACTCCACATTGAGCTTCCCTATGACCCAGCAATCCCACTTTTGTGCATTTACCCAAATGATCACAAACAAGACCATACTCAAGGCTAGGGCTCTACCAATTGAGCTACAATGCCACTGCTGGCTTTTTCTATTTATGTGGTGCTGAGGAATCGAACCCAAGACCTCAAGCATGCAAGGCAAGCACTCTACCACTGAGCCAGCCCCTAAAGTATGATATTTTTGAAACAAAAATAGTATGGTACACATGCAGGTGAAATTATATTCTTTTTTTTTTTTTTTTTTTTGCTTTCTTTTTTGTTTTTTTTTTGCTTTTTTTTTTGCTTTTTTTTTTGCTTTTTTTTTTTTTTTTTTTTTTTTGCTTTTGCTTTCTTTTTTTTTTTTTTTTTAAATTTTATTTTATTTTATTTGAGAACATACTGTACAGAGGGGTTACAATTACATGGGCAGGATAATGCATACATTTCTTACCAAGCATTGCAGCCTCCTCCTTTGTTTACCCTTCACCTCCCTTCCCAGCCTCCCCCCTCCCCCCCACCCAATCATACCCTCCCTCCCCCCCCCCCCACCGACATTGTAAAGCTGGTTTTGACATGACATTTTGTACTTCTCATTGTTGCAACAGGTCCACCTGAATCCTTAAACGACTTGTTTGTCCCCGTCTCCTCCACATGTTATACTGACATCAAATATAGTGAAAGCGGGGGTTACACTGTGGGGGAGGGACATACAAAGCAACCAAGAAATAATCTTATAAATGCGTTAGAAACACATGCATGAAAGAAACAGAAACATTAAAATACATATTTGAGGGTTCGTTTTCCTAACATCACATTCTCTGACTTTTTCCGCTTGACTCATACCTATACTAGATATTGCAAATAAGGGAAACCATGGGACCTATGTTTCTTTGGGCCTGGCTTACTTCACTTAATATAATTTTTTCCAAGCCTTGGTGAAATTATATTCTAAGTAACTCAGTACAAACCTCACTACTGCTAAAAGTGAAAGACAGAAAGAGAGGGAAAAGGAGAGAGAGCAGAAATCATTGAGAAAGAAGAGGGAGAGGGTGAGAAAGCATAGTATGGTACCCCAGGAATTCCAGAAAAACAGAAGGGAGAAGACAAAGAAACTTTGTCCAAAGCCATTACCAGGTGAAAATGTGAAATTTAGCATGAAAACCTAAGTAAAACAATAACAAAAAGGATATTAAATTTGACTATAAATCCAGATGGAGCTGCATTAGAAAATGAGAAACAAAACAAGATCCATGAAATTCACCAAGAAAACCCAATATTGCTGCAGCTACAAAGCCAAATAACATCATATGGGCATGGTGACAAAAGACACTCTTTTCTTTGCAAACCAGCCCTGTGGAGCTGGATCTCACTGGTGCCATTCTGGATTGTTGGGAGCTGAACTCTAATGCCATCCTACGGATGGTGAAGGAAAGTTTTGGGGGTTTTTTTGTTTTGTTTTTTTTGGGGGGGGGGGCGTCCTGTCGTGGGGCCTGAACTCTGGGCCTGAGCACTGTCTCTCAGCTCTTCAGCTCAAGGCTAGTGCTCTACCACTTGAGCCACAGCACCACTTCCAGCTTTTTTCTTTTTGCTTATGTGGTGCTGAGGAATCGAACCCAGGGCCTCAGTCATGCAAGGCAAGCGCTCTACCACTGAGCCAACTTCCCAGCCCATGAAGGAAAGTTTTCATACTGCCTGTTGTCACTCTTCTTCTCATTGCCTGAGTCACCTATTCTTAGCCTGGATTTAGAGTTAAGGACAAGCCTATGTTCTTATTGCTATCTGGTCCTTAGAAATGTGGGTACTATGAGTAGGTTGGTACTAGAATAGTAAGCTAGCGGCCAAGGAGCTATACCCTACAGATCCAAAAGGTGGTGCCACAGATCCATTCAAATATTGTTTGCTGTGGTTGTTTCTATAGTACTTTAAAAATTTATGATTTAGTAGAACAATTTTGAAACATATTTTGATTCTGTACCAGGCAGTCATAAAAGTCCTTATCATTCTGCCTCAACTTATTTTATGCTGTGGTTACACTCAAGTGTCACTTATGATACATATTATACAAATCTATATACATATATATATGTAGATATATACACATATATGTATATGTGTGTATATACTATATATACATATATGCACATGTGTGTGCATACATGCACATATATGTACATGTACATATGTATATATGTACATATGTGTGTGTGCACACATACATATATATATATATATGTATATGTTGTATTGTCAGTCATTGGGCTTGAACTCTGGGCCTGGACACTGTCTCACCCTCCTGAGTAGCTAAGATTACAGGCATAAGTCACTGGTGTCCAATTTATATACATATATTATATTATACATATACATATATTTATCACTCACGTGTTACTTTATTTATATATTGACATAAAATGTGTGGGGACAGCTGGGTGCCAGTGGCTCACACCTGGAATCCTAGCTACTCAGGAGGCTGAGATATATGGATTGCTGTTCAAAGCCAGCCTGGTCAGGAAAGTCCGTGAGACTCTTATCTCCAATAAACCACCAGAAAACCAGAAGTGGTGCTGTGGCTCAAGTGGTAGAGTGCTCACCTTGAGCTGAAGAGCACAGAGAAAGCACCTACGCCCAGAATCAAGGTCCACAACCGACAACAACAACAAAGAAAGTGTTGGGACAGATATAGGATCCAGGTTTAGCTAATAATCCATATGAATGTGGACCTATAGAACACCACAACCTTGTTGAAGAGAATATAGCAATCTCCTGGATTTGGTTTTTGTTTTATGATTTTGATGCAGCTCCTTGCAGCTAAATTGAGGGCCTGGTCACTGTTCCTGAGCTTTAGTGATCCAGGCTAGAGCTCTTCCACTTCAACTACATCTCCACTTCTAGCTTTGGATGATTAATTGAAGAAAAAAGTCTCATGGACTTTCCTGCCCTGGCTGGCATCAAACCACAATCCTCAGATCTCACCCACCTCAGTAGATAAAATTATAGGCATGAGCCACTGGTATCTCTTAATATGTATGGATATGTATGCATCCCAGTTGTCAAGGAGTAAAAGCAGTTTTCAAAAAAGAGGATTGCAACAGAGAAAAACAGGGAAAAAATACAAGAGAGTAGCCCTTCAGGTGCACTGGACATTGATGAAAATGAACTAAGCAACTTAAAGGCAGTGATAAGAGAGAGCGAGGGAATGAGAGAAAGAGGGAACAGCTTACACTAGGAAAAGGAAATAAATGTACATTTTATGTGATTTATAAGAAATAGCAGTAGTGTCAAAGTTTGTAGAGTTCATAAGCTTTACAGACTAAGAAAATGACAATGTGCCTCACGAAGGTTAAAATGTGTTTGTGACTTTAACTAAGTATCACTATTCCACAATACTGTGAAATTTGTGAAATTTATGTAATCACTTAATCTCAATGTAAAATTATTTTTTAAAAAAGAATAACCCTCTTGACCACTCTTTCTTGATCCTCCACCCCATATTGTTCATTGGCTTTTAGTGAGATTTCTTATGTCATCATTTTTCATAGCTAGAATATTTCTCAATATGATTTACTCTCCTTCATTCTCTTTCCTTCTCTCACCCCTCATTAAAAAAAATAAAATATCATTCTTTCTGATGGAGGCATAGAATTCCATTGTGTATATATACCACATTTTCTTAATCCATTCATCTACTGAGGGGCATCTGGGTTGGTTCCATATCTTAGCTATGGTAAATAATGCTGCAATAAACATAGTTGTGCTGGTAGCTTTAGTGTGGTCTTGTTTGTAAACATTTGGGTAAATGCCCAAAAGTAGGATTGCTGGGTCTTAGGGGAGCTCTATGTGAAGTCTTTTCAGGAACCTCCATACTGCTTTCCAAAGTGTTTGAACAAGTTTACACTCCCACCAACAATGAAGTAAGGTTTCCTTCTGCCCACATCCCCTCCAGCATCTGTTGTTGTTAGAGTTCTTGATTATAGCCCTTCTAACTGGGGTGAGGTGGTATCTCAATGTTGTTTTGATTTGCATTTCTTTTATGGCTAGGGAGGTTGAGCATTTCTTCATGTGTCTATTGGCCATCCTTCTGTCTTCTTCAGAGAAGTTTCTCTTC